AGTGTTTCAGAAACGTTTCAAATTTTCAAAAAAGTTTCTAGATAACAGTAAAACGTCATTGGTTATAGTTTAAAATACAAAACAGAGAAACATAAAATTTGAAATGTCTACACGATGTTTTTATGAGAAAGGTTTTTATAATACATACAAATTAACTGAAATAATGAAAGAATATTTGGTAAAATCTTTATATTCCTTAAGCAATTGCATTCAAAATTTGGTGCAAGGTGTAATACTTATTCTTATAATTCTATTTATTATATAAAATTATATACTTATTGTTAGTAGTCTTACAATAAAAGTACCTTTCTTAAAAATATTTTGTCCTTGTCAAGAAAATGTTTTGCAAAATATCTCAGCTTATATAGAGACAGTTGCAGAATCTTTAGATGTTTGTGAAACCTTTCATAAACGTTTTGTAACAAAAACACTGGACATTTTCACATATCTACGACGTATATAGATATGAGATATTTATATTGTAACGCGCTATGCTAAGGTCTCTGAAGCCGATATTCATAGGCTGTTCTTATTTCAAAACCGTCTTAAGTAATAAATTAAGTAATATCTTAAGATGCTAATACGACTCTGTATTGCTTCATAACATCTTAAGATTGTACTTGAGACGGTCTTAAATTTAAGATCCGACACTACATACGTTTCGACCTTACTTGGTCTTCTTCAAATCATAAGAAAAAAATACACTTAAAAATAATAAATTTATTACATATGTTTTGTTAAATTATTAATTTTTCTAATAGAATTAAACTATTTATAGTTTTGAAAAAAATTACGTTTCAGATTACATTTAACAGATAGTTTAATAATTTCACAAGCATACAGATATTTCATTGCTGGTTTTGAAACTTTGTCGTCGATATTAGCAATGCGTTCGAGATCGAGTCTTTCATTATCTCAAAATTAATATCCGCGATTTCTTGTTCTCTCTCGCTTCTTTAACAAGGTTCTGTAATTTTTTTCACATTATATTTCGCTCAATTGCGGCTAATTGTACAGCCGAAAGAAGCATAGAATAAATTATCATAAAAAAAGACGTTTTCACTATACATTTAACTTAATCGATGCATTTATTCGCAATATGATTAAACAAAACGGGCAAAAGCTCAGCATCGAAATCTGCATGTTAACATACATATATGTATATCAGGTGTAAACATGATGTTATCTAATCGACTTTTTCGAGTATCGCTACATGCAGAGTCACGATAACGCGCACTAGATGCGAAGAAAAAAAATAAATCTTGCAAATACCGTTTCCACAATTCCGCACGATCTAGACGGCGCCGTCGCTAGTATAAGTTCGCACTTACAGACTGACGCGAGCTGATGCACGGCGCAGTATATGCGGCAGATGCAATTAAATCGCAATTATATCGCCATTCGCGTTCAGGTATGTCACGTCCGTCGCTTGTACCAAAATCAAATTTTAGAAAAAAAGAAACAAATTATGTAATTTTATCCTCGAATATATGTGTTGAAAGAAATTACTTCATTGCACTCCCATTCATCATCATCAGCGAAGAAACCGCCCATCGGAGTCACTAGTGGAGAAGAATCGATCTGGCGATATTTTCTCCTTATACCGAAACATCGCGAAAAATAAAACAATATCGATAGTATTAATAAACGTATCATTATCTCTGAAGTGTTACATCGTGCGTTGCAGATCGGACGTTATCAGCAAGTCTCTCAATTCCTGAACAATCGTTTATTTCGTTTATTTTACATCGAACATGCGCGCGTTACATACGTGTGTGTGTGTGTGTGTGTGTGTGTGTGTGTGTGTGTGTGTGTGTGCGTGTGTGTGCATTCAATCATTTGTTCTCGCATTGAATAATCGTCATGAAAGTAATATTGACGTATCTGTGACCGCTATATCTCTCCTATAGGTATTTTATCTCCACTGCGCTGCCAGATGCATGAGATGTTCGGATTTAAGCGCTAAACTTTCTTGCGAAAGTGATAAACTTTCTTTCTCGATTTATGAGTGACAATCGATGAAGTAAAAGATAAACAATCATCGAGTGATCATCGAATTGAATTTATCGAGAAATTTCATTTGTTTAGTCGGAGATAAATTTTACGTCTTTAAATTTCAAAAAGATTTGAATGATATCGGAACGTAACACTTATGTATTCAAGTATGCTATATATTGAAGTAATTGCCCATACTTTTTCCATCTTTCAGTTATTTCTGAACTCTGATGACACAACATGGTTGCGCATTTGTACAAATATTAATTCGTTCTATTATATAGCGTCTTTTCCCGGACGAACTTAGATTACTTGTGTTATCTGTCACCTCTAGCATCATGAAAGATACGAGACTCATGTAATAACTTCTTAATAACATTTAAGTGTAAATCACTTATTCAATCGTCGGTTGCAAAATATCGGAAATGAGATACTTGGTACTAACATATACAATAATACGAAGAAAATATTTGTGATACCAGAATACGGTATCAAATTAATATCAACGTAACAGTTAATATATGAACAAAGAATAATTGAAACTATTAATATCAATATTACTAATAATGCACATAAATATTTTAAATGGTTTAAAACTAAAGAAACGTTTCTTCGATACTTCGATACGATCTTCAGAGATGACATGCTAAGGATGCGTTCCACTTAACGCTCACAACGCTCGCGAGAATCATTCGTCCTTGTTTAACATTTGACAAACAACAAGGATGAAATGATTCCCCACGAGCGTTGCGAGCGTTAAGTGGAACGCACCCTAAGTTAAATACAAAATACATATTATTTAAATCAATATTTATTTAAGAATAATATTCATCAAATCTAACAAAAACTCGTTTTGCTTAAGATAAATTTTGATTAAATTTCATCCAAATTTATAATTTCAACAAGACGAAGGTTTATATAACAAAACAAATCTTCTTCCTTTTCTTTCAGTAAATAATATTCGTAATAACTAATCGACAACTGCATGCTGGACAATGGAACCCTTCGAAATACTGTGCGGCATTGCCGTTGTAATTTTCGCTCTTTATTATTACCTCACGTCAAATTTCGACTTTTGGAAGTCACGTGGCGTTCGTGGTCCACGACCAATACCGGGGCTGGGTAATTTTAAAGACGTTATGCTTAATAAAATATCCGTGGGCGATTATTTGACAGAAATGTATAACACCTATAAAGATGAACCAATGATTGGGATATTCGATAATAAAACACCAGTTCTTGTTATACACGATCTAGATTTAATTAAGGATGTCCTTATCAAAGATTTCCTCGTATTTCCTACTAGAGAAATACCCATTTCCGAAAAGGTGAGAATATTTTAAGCTATTATATTTAAATACACATATCCAAAGAAAATATAAACAAAACATGTCGCATCTGTTTTAAAAATATACATATATACTTGTATAATTTTCGTATAATAAGACTTATTAAAAAATGCGAGATGTAGACTTCCAGAGACTTATCCAAGTTCCTGTAAGTTAGTAAAATTTGATTTTGAGTTAAATTTACTTGATTACAATACATTTTTTGTCACAGGCCGATCCGCTGTCGCAAAATCTTGCCCTTTTGGAGCCGAAGAGGTGGCGACCGTTGAGAATAAGACTGTCGCCTGTTTTTACATCCGGTAAACTAAAGGAAATGTTCTCTTTAATATCAGAGTGTGCTGATAACCTTGTCCAATACATGGAAAAAGTAGTGAGCGAAAATAAACCTGTCGAGTGCCGCGAGTTGACGGCCAAATATACGACCGACGTTATCGGTACCTGCGCCTTCGGCATCGAAATGAACGCTTTGTCGGACGAAGACAGTGAATTTCGCAAAATGGGAAGAGAAATATTTAATCCGTCTTGGAAAAATATATTACAATTCAGAATGAGACAAATGTTTCCGTGGCTTTACGAATTATCCGCGTACGTCCTACCACAAACAAAAACCACCAAATTCTTCATACGCGTTATCGTGGAGACTATGGACTACAGAGATACGAATAATATCATTAGACACGATTTCGTTGATGTGTTGCGCGAATTAAAGAAACATCCAGATAAATTGGGCGATATTGGTATGTATCTATATATTTATATATTACTTTTATCTGTCATAGGACTATCTTTCACATAGAAATACCATACCAGTTTGCACACTAGTTTAAAATAATTTTATTAATCACAATAAAGTAAAGCTAACTTTTACTTTTATAACAACAATTTGTTCTTTATTGCCGAATTTTAACATAATATAACTTTGAAAATAATGAATTTATTGAATTTATTATGTGTGTGAATTGTTGAGTGATTATATAATCTAATAAAGAATTAAATGGTAATAAATAAATTACATTTTAGATTTGACGGATAGTTTAATAGCTGCCCAAGCGTTCGTATTTTTCGCTGCTGGCTTTGAAACTTCGTCAACAACTATTAGCAATGCGCTCTATGAGTTAGCATTAAATCAAAAAGTACAAGACAATTTACGTCAAGAAATTGACGAGATGTATGCGAAACATGGTGAAAATTTAACGTACGATGATATAAAAAAAATGGATTATTTGGATAAAGTTTTTAAAGGTATGTCGTTTGAAGAATAATATTCAGCGATATTCTAATAATCTAATATAATCCCACTGCTAGTAAACTATAATCTAATTGTAGTTTTTCAATATTTCCATAATTTGATACTATTCTTATTGTTTGCAGAAACATTACGAAAATATCCACCAGTGGCAGTTCTTAGGAGAGAATCTATGTCCAGTCATACTTTCGTTGGTATCAACGTCAGTATACCGAAAAGTCAAAAAATATGGATTCCCATTTACGCGATTCATCGAGATCCGGATATTTATTCAAAGCCAGATGTCTTCGATCCAGAAAGATTTGATGAAGAAACTGTGCAAAGCAGGCACCCGATGGCTTATCTACCTTTTGGCGACGGGCCAAGGAATTGCATTGGTATAATGAAATAATTTGAAATATCCCTTTTCATTTCCTTCCACGCAGAAAAAAATGTTTAATCAAAAAATATTTTTAATTTGTTACATATTTTTCAAATAAAAGTACTTTTGACCGAGAACTTTAATCAAATTTACATCATGATCGTTCTTCTATTTTCAGGAGCGCGTTTCGCTGTTTATCAGAGTAAAGTTGGACTTGTAAAGATACTACGAAATTATAAAGTTGAGACTTGCGAGAAAACTCCAATACCCTACGTAAACGATCCTAAAGCACGTATATTAGCACCAAAAGGAGGACTACACTTGAAAATAATTAAAATTAATCGACTTTAATTTTTTCAAGTTTTTCTCCAACTCTCCACAGAAAGCGTGATAAAAAGTGAAGAAAATCTGTCAATTAGAATGATAGAAGTCATTCTGTAATA